GATCTCCTTGCTATGTTTCTGGACTTGGGAACATTTCAGTAGCATTGCTGTCTATGCAGGGTCAGACAGCTCTCAGATTCCATCAGAAATATCTTAATTTGTGTTCCGAAGATGAACGAAGATCGTACGGGTTTGAAACGACATGAGGGTGAGTAATTAATGACAGAATTTTCATTTTTGGGTGAACTAACCCTTTAAAGTATTTTAAAATGTAATTTATTCCTGTGATGGCAAAGCTGAATTTTCAGAAGCCATTGCTCCTGCTGCCAGTCTTCAGTGTCACAAGATCCTTCAGAAATCATTCTAATCTGCTAATTTGGTGCTCAAGAAACATGTCTTATTATTATCGATGTTGAAAACTGTTGTGCTGCTTATTATTTTTGTGAAACCATGATATATTTTTTCAGGATTCCTGATGAATAGAATTAGAAAAAAAATATATATGTACATTTTTTGTAACAATGTAAATCTCTTTACTTTCACTTCAGATAAATTTAATGCTGAATAATGGTATTATCTTCTTAAAAAAAATGTACTGACCCCAAAATTTTGAACAGGAGTATATCTAGATAATTACATTAAAGAAAAATAAAACAATGAAACATACAGACATTCCCACAAAATTCTTTAGTACAGAATTAGTTTAAACATGCATGCATTTGAAGTATGCTCCAAATATTAATATGTAACTACATAAAATAATAAGCGGAAATACAGATCTGTTGAGAGCCTGCATTGTTTTCAATGGCCTATCAACAAAATGTTGACATTAATCGGCTAAACAGACTAGGAAATTTATACATTTGTAAGTTTTTATATATATATATATATATATATATATTAGTGTTAAACAGGTGATTTCGTATTGCAGAATATTCTCTGTTGGTGGGTGAAGTTCACATTTGTTTGTATTAGCAATCACATTTCTTTCTTAAATATTTCCACAGGTCTTGGCCGCAGTCTGTCAGCTAAACGAAGGTTAATATGCTTTCTGTTTGGTTGCATTTGAAGAATGTGTGGAGGCACAATTGTCTATTCTCCTCCACTGATATGCTTGAGTGAATATGGGATGGATTCAGTAGGAAATTTATACATTTGTATGTTTTTATATATATATATATATATATATATATATATATATTACACAAAACTAAACTGTACAGTATAGATGTTGAACATCAAAATGCAAATAACCACCTTTAGCAGTGCTAAAAATATGTTTGTTTGTTTTTGTCTGTGTTGTACCTTGAATAGATTCATCTTGGGAACCCCAGAGTCATTCTCTGGAGGGGGCTTTCTGGAATCTTTGGCCTCTTGCCGATGCCGCTGTCGCACAATATACTCATATGTGCTAAGCCTGTTCCACACTAAAGGAGAGAATGAGACGGAGAATGAGACAGAGAATCTGATACAAAATGTCTTCTGCTGTATCACCTATTCACATCACACCATTTACAATGCCATTCAGGACAGGAACCATATCTACAAATTATTTATCGTACATATTATTCATATCATCAGGCAAAAAAGTATGGATGTCGATGTTTATATCTGGTTTCATCTCAAAAATAGGTTGGAAAGTGAAACCAAGTTCTTTTGCCCCCTTGTGGCACACAGTGAGATGTCACTCGTGCATTACAGGGCTCCTCCATGTAGTATACAGAATTTAAATATCTATCTTATTTTACGCTTATATTTCTTCCATTGTTTATTTGATTCAGCTGCAAGTCATAAGCTCTACTCCAACCCGACAAACCCAAAGCGGAAAATGTTTAATTAATAACAGCAACAAAACATCAAATAACCCCAGAACCAGAGACCGATCATAGAATGACTGTCTTTGTCGTTGTGGCTTCAGAAAATGAACTGATCTTGCCTGTGGTGTTTTGTTGTCATGGTTACCGAGGCTAGCACTAAGCTACACAGATCTGCCTGAGCTGACGGTGGACAGCATGTGGCGGTGAGTGACTGTTTCATGGTAATCAAGCTGCGGTCTCTCTCATGCAGAAGAATTAAGACTACACCAAAGCCTGAGCTCAAACCCAACTGTTGGCATTGTGTAGATATCGACCTGATTATTCCAGGCATCAGAGGAATACACCTGCACCTGCAGTTCAAAAGGCGCAGGCAGTAAATAGTTAGTTGCAGTAAACCCCGCTTCAAAGATATATGTGTAATGATATATGCAAATATATGCATGTTTTAATTCAAAGTGTGCTGCATTGACTTTTAATGTATTCAGCTCCTTATTAAATTCCTTTGAGTGCATTATTAATCAGGCCAGGGGAGGCATTTGAGTTTAATCCTAGGTTAATATTGAAGGCAGAGGTGTGCATTGCTGGGAATGCTCTCTCAAACACCAAACCGTTCAAAAGTAGGATTCAGTAAGATTTGTTTTTAAAGAAATTAATTCTTTTATTCAGCAATTTAATTGATCAGAAGTGACAGGAAATACTTTTACATTGTTACTATTTCAAATTAATGTATCGATCCATCAGTCCTGAAAAAACAAATGTATCACTTTCCACAAAATAATTAAGCAGCATAGCCGTTTTCAACATCGTAATTTTCAGAAAATGTTTCTTGTCAGCATATTAGAATGATTTCTGAATTAACATGTGACACTAAAGAGTGGAGTAACTGCTGTTTAAAACTATTTGCCATCACAGGAATTAATTACATTCTAAAATGTATTAAAATAGAAAAGTTATTTTAAATTGTAATAATATTTCACAAAATTATTGTTTTTACTGTACAAATAAATATAGCACTTCTGGCAAAAACATTTTTAAAAATCTTGTAGGTAGAAGAGTGTACTCACTGAGGTATATGTGGAAGCAGAGTAAGTGTCCCAGCAAGAGTGCAGACAGCAGGCCCAGAGCAATGGTGACTCCTGCTAGAGCGGGAATGGCTGGACCAGATGTGGTGACTGGAGCCACCGGCAGAAACACAAACCACACCACAGAATCATTCCTTACTGCAGACACACAAAAACCCCCAGAAAATTAGAGTTTGACATGTGGACAGAAATCTGTGAAAATGTGTAGTTTGTTGTGTGTAGTGTGACCAACTTTCAGTGCATTCAAACATGCCCACAAAACACCTCTTACCCTGTTGAAAGTGCTTGTCAGATCGAAGTTTTGATGGGTCCAAAAAGAACTCTATAAAAACATAACTAGCAATAACTACTACCAAAACAATCCCCAGGAGAGCAGAAATCACACTATTGAGAAACAGCCTGTGACAAATAGAAAGAGAGAGAAAGAGAGAATAAACAAATACTTTGGCTGTCAAAGAGATTTTTTTTCTTTTTTACTAAATGTTTTTTGTATCCTTACTGCAGACACACAAAAACCCCCAGAAAATTAGAGTTTGACATGTGGACAGAAATCTGTGAAAATGTGTAGTTTGTTGTGTGTAGTGTGACCAACTTTCAGTGCATTCAAACATGCCCACAAAACACCTCTTACCCTGTTGAAAGTGCTTGTCAGATCGAAGTTTTGATGGGTCCAAAAAGAACTCTATAAAAACATAACTAGCAATAACTACTACCAAAACAATCCCCAGGAGAGCAGAAATCCCACTATTGAGAAACAGCCTGTGACAAAAAGAAAGAGAGAGAAAGAGAGAATAAACAAATACTTTGGCTTTCAAAGAGATTTTTTTTTTTTTTTACTAAATGTTTTTTGTATACACTATTGTTTGAAGTCAGAAATACAGTTAAAAACAGTAGTATTGTGAAATACTATTACAATTTAAGATTGTTTTCTTTTTTAATACATTCCTGTGGTGGCAAAACTGAATTTTCAGCAACCATGATATCACATGATAATTCAGAAATATTCTAATATGCTGATTTGGTGCTCAAGTAACATTTATTATTATCAATATTATTATTATACATTTTTTAGGATTCTGTGATGAAGAGAAAGTTCAAAAGAACAGCAATTACTTCAGAAATATATTTTTTTAACAATGTAAATGTCTTTACTGTCACTTTTGATCAAATTAATACATTCTTGCTGAACAAAAGTATTATTTCTAAAGTGTTTTTGAAAAATCACTTACTCTGCCTTTAATTTCTTTCACAAAAAATAAAAAATAAAATAAAAAAATATCGGACCCCAAAACACGTTATGCCACTTGTAAAAAAAGCTGCATTAGTTAGGTCATAGGGACTTCAGTCACACTGCCTGATCATGTTCATTTAATGAAAAGACATTAAGGTAAAAACACACATGACTTGATTCATTGGTCAGCATCCCAAAGGTCTGCCAGTGAAAATGAAACTCACAAATGAAATGAGTGTTTGTATGTGATGCTAAGCAACAGCACTTGATCTCATGATTGCTTTATGACTTCCATTTGAGAAAACATTAAATATGTCATAAAATCATGAAATGTTTCACATCAGCATTCTGGTTATGGTGACAGACTATACAATAAAATGCTATATCTGAATATTACATCTCTCTCTGAATAGTTGGACACAGGATCCGCCTTGAAAAAGACTCACAGTTAAAATATCTATCTACCAGCTGCTGTCCATGGAAACGACAGGACGTGAAAAACGGACCCACATAATGACAGACAGAGAAGAGAAAGTGAAAACAACTCACCAGTAGTTTCTGCTGCCCACACAATTGTTCAGCCATCGACAGTGGTGGTCAAAGCTTGCCACACACTTATTACATGCACTACAGTGTTTTGATTTAGGCCCCCTGGAAAGAACAGTGTTACAGGTAATTGGTTATGTACATGTTGCGGGGTACAAGACCTGCTTGAAAAAGTTGCATGCTTGGACACAATGCATTGTTAAGTACAGCGATAGGCAGAAAGGGTAGCATATCCTGTGAAAGTGCTAAGCGTAAGTGATCCTCGCCTATGTCAAGATCCACTTAAGAACATTAATTCAGCAGTGTAAACTGTAATCTGTCAGTTATTGTCAATTTGCACCTGAAACTTCAAGAAAGTTGTCAAATTAATATATGACAGTCAGTCAGCATTAGAAAGTGCTGCAGTAGTGTCGTCATTTCCAATTCAGGACTTAGATGTCAATGATTGTAAGCTTCAGTCACTTGTTCTTATCATACTGCTATTGTAGTCATATTAATAAAAACAATAAGATTGGATAAAATGCAGAGGGTGTGCATAACAGTCGTTTGACTACAGTTACAGAAATCTGAATAAAGCATCTGTACACATGCATACCCACACAACAATAGGGAAACAGAGAGCAGCACGTCTGTACTTACACATCTACTTCACAGAGGTAGCAGTGACAGTTCTCGATGACGTGTGCATGTTTGGTGCGGTCAAACACCGGCATGGGTCCCTTATAACTCTTAGCTCTGACATTATAATCCGCAGGGTCGATGGAGACGGCCATCAGGTGCATGAAGAGGTGACTGATAAATGTAATGCCTGTACACTGAGCTCTGAGTTAAAGACTGATGTTTAATCAAAAAGTGAGTCTCTCAAAAGACTAGCTGTATATAGTTCACACAGAGCTGCACAAAGATCCAACTTTGAATGGCTGCTACAGGGTAACATATGTATACTAATATGATGCAGATGTGTGCAGGAATAGCTTCTGTGTAGGCCATGTGACAAACTGTAAAACAAGGATACAATATATCCGGCTGGGATCCAGTGTGTGGGGAGCAGAGGCACAAATACACCGAAGCCAGTGACAGCAAAGTAGAGATAAAGCAGCCAGGCCAGGAGCTGGAAAGGGTGCGGGGGCCAGCTCCAACCATTGGTCCGAGAGCACAGGGGCACATCGGCACTCCTGGGTACCCCCTCACTCACTGGGGCTGTGCGATTGGAGTTCTTACTGCAGACATCCATGAGAGGGGAACCTCCTTCTGTCACTCCTGCCATTAAAACAGTGTAGAATGTTTACTTTGAACATATTACAACTAGGGCTGCACGATTAATCGAATGTGATTGTCATGCGTATCTTGTCAGGAAAGCCGTTTCTGTGATTAGTAGTAAATCTCCAGCACGTGCTTTTAGATGGAGCAGCATTTACTACACAGAGCCGTAGTGCACTGACAAGCTACGCAAAATCACATTCATAATCGCAGGCGATTTAATCGCGCGATTATGAAATCGAAGAAATCGTTCTGTGATTATGAAAGCTGTTTGCGTAGCTTGTCAGTGAACTACGGCTCTGTGTAGTAAATGCTGCTCCATCTGAAAGCATGTGAAAATACCACATTTAATAACATGTTTTTCCTCCAAACTCACTTCATAACGTCAGTCGAGTGTTTGAAATAAATCCTTCTGTGGCTTCTTACACAGAATAAGGCATGCAACATATTTCATAGAATAGAGATTTACTGCTGATCACAGAACCGTGCTTCACTGAAAGATACGCATGACAATCGCAGCTTCTGATTTATCGCCTTTGCGATTTAATTTCGATTAATCGTGCAGCCCTAATTACAACCCTCTAAATTGCTAGTAAATCCCTCGCATATGCGACTAAATCTTCACTCTGGGTGACTAAATGATGTCTAATATTAGCCAACGGCTAATACATTCTTAGATTTTACTGGCCAATGTGTGAGTTAGAGGCTAAGTATAAGTTTAGCACAGATATTTTCACTCGCCAAACTCTGACTGAGCGCTTCAGTTTCCTTCTCTGTCAAGCGATCTCTGTTATTTTTCAATTCATCTGAATGGATGTGCAACGCACCTGTATTTGACGTACCGTAAACTGTAGTGTAAAGGCGCACAACTCGCCGTCGCTTTGTCTCACACACACGCAAAGATAGAGACAGAGTGAGATACAGTGGGTACGGAAAGTATTCAGACCCCCTTAAATTTTTATTCTGTGTTTTGCTGTCAATATGGGGTGCTGTGTGTACATTAATGAGGAAAAAAAATTAACTTAAATGATTTTAGCAAATGGCTGCAATATAACAAAGAGTGAAAAATTTAAGGGGGTCTGAATACTTTCCGTACCCACTGTAGTCTTACATACCATGCAGAATAAACGCGCTACATGTAAACGATATTCTTTGTTGTGTTTTCCTGTCAAAATAACAGCGTTCCTTTGGAATTCTTCAGCTTTTAAGAACTGCCGGGTTCTCCGGTAGAGGGCGGAGCTAATGCTCAAAGGACAATCTCATTGGCTGGCGCTCACTTATTATCATCCCTGTTTTGATTTCAGCAAATCAATTCGAGCAAACGCAGGCAACGTGATTAATATTCATGAACCCAGCAGCTCATTAATCCTTAGTGCGTTCTATATTGTTATTAGTAGAATTCGTAGTAGTATTGCTATCTTATCACTATTATTATATTTTTTTAATATATAATATAGAAATATTTTTGTAGAAACACTAAATGACAAAAAAAATATCTTAAGCAAGATATTTAAAAAGCTGTGCTCTTTTACAAACATATACATACATATATATATATAATAGTATATGAAATATTTAATATTAGTCTGGCGAGTAAACTAAAAAAAATTTACATGTAAACGATATTCTTTGTTGTGTTTTCCTGTCAAAATAACAGCGTTCCTTTGGAATTCTTCAGCTTTTAAGAACTGCCGGGTTCTCCGGTAGAGGGCGGAGCTAATGCTCAAAGGACAATCTCATTGGCTGGCGCTCACTTATTATCATCCCTGTTTTGATTTCAGCAAATCAATTCGAGCAAACGCAGGCAACGTGATTAATATTCATGAACCCAGCAGCTCATTAATCCTTAGTGCGTTCTATATTGTTATTAGTAGAATTCGTAGTAGTATTGCTATCTTATCACTATTATTATATTTTTTTAATATATAATATAGAAATATTTTTGTAGAAACACTAAATGACAAAAAAAATATCTTAAGCACCACCACCAGTCCTAAATTCAGTCAACATGACAAATATGCATTCATACATGGTTATTCTAATTACTAAAGTTCTATCATCATATAATGCTTAATTATCATAATATCATATTATAATGTTTGACTGACTGATGTTAAGTGTACTTTCAGATATTTAAAAAGCTGTGCTCTTTTACAAACATATACATACATATATATATATAATAGTATATGAAATATTTAATATTAGTCTGGCGAGTAAACTAAAAAAAATTTACTAGCCAATGGCGATTCTATTGCCAAGGTGTTCATAGAGAGTTGTATTACACGTTTGATTTGACTCTGCAGACTTAGGCTGATAATACATGGAGCAACTTTGGGCAATGTTGCCGTCAATGGGCAACCAGGTGAGACAAAGGGCCCACGACCAATCAAATTTGTTACCCATTCTCAATGGGAAAGTGCCCAAGGCAACATTGCTCAAAAAAAGTTGCCTGGCAAAATTGCTCAAAAAGTTGCCCCGAGTATCATCAACCTTACTGCTTTAAAGGAATAATTACCCAAAAATGGTAATGCTGTCATCGTTTAATTACCCTCAAGTTGTCCAAAGCTGTATGACTTTGTTTCTTCTGTCATACATAAAAGATATTGAGAAATTTTGTATATATTTTTTTTTTGGTTTGGTTACAAAACATCCTTCAAAATAAAGAAGAAGGAAAGAAGAAAGAAATCCATACAGCTTTGGAATGAGATGACAGTGAATAAATGACTGCAGAACTTTCTACACATTTTAAAATAATGTCAAAACAATGTTTAAAACAGAGTTCTGAATTATTGTATTTTTAATTATTTCACTCAGAATTGTTTGAAAAGCCTTTGTTTTTATAACAATTAGATTTATTTCTCATTTAAAAAGCATATATATTAATGGTTTAAATATTGTTATTATTAGAAATTTTAGCAGACAGTCACTAGTAATTACACTTTAAAAAAAAACATATATTAATGATTGCTTAAAATGTTATGGCTAACCTACTTGCCACTTTTAGAGACATACAAAAAGGTTTTTGTAGAAAACATTAAACCACAAATACCTTTATTAATATGCAGATATCTTGATTGGTCACTGATCCACTATAACCAGTAAATTATGGTAAACCATAAAACTCACCTGCTCAGTTACTGATGTCAGGACTCTGGCCTGCTCCGCCACATCTGAGCCGACATTACCTGCACTGCTTTTTCTTAACACGAAAACTACCACTAACCTGACACATCTTTGAGCCTCATCCACAGCACCAACACAACAGCTCTGAGTGACGGCTAGCTCTATCTTTACTCATTTACTGTATCTGTAGCCTGAGAGCGGAGAAGGCGTCTCAGTAACCTAAATCTCTCATCCCGTGGGTAAACCAATCTCCTCTACATGTAGTAATTAACTTGCAATAGAGCACCAAAGAAATACGAGGCTTGAAACTGACCAAACGTTAAGCGCTTGTTGTGTCCGTTGAGCACGACCGACTGTACCGTTAACTAATTATTCTGCAAACAAATCAAATCTTACAGCAACCGCGCGCATCTCGACCAATATTCAAAGCGTTTTATTCATCTAATCAATCGAAACTGCTTAAACGACTAAACAAATATCAACAAATAAAGATTTTATAATACAGCAGCGGCACTCAATCCAATATTTTCGGCATGTAGTGACAATTTGTGTATTAAATAGTTGACCGACGCACCCACATCCGGGAAAACCGTTACACGGCACGTTTTATTTCAAATTAAAAGTCCTTAGCACTAAATAACAAAGAAAAAATGTTTACATGTAAGGTACTGTGTTAATTACAAATGGAAGTTTTTTTTTAAATTCATAACATCAAATCTGATATAATCACATTCTTCTTTAATTCTTATTAGTAGTAGTAGTAATAGTCATTCTGTCAAATCCAGTTTCTTTGTGCTGTTGCAGTGTTTCTGTTTTACATCACAAGCTGTTCAGTGTTGCCCTGTAGGCAGTTTTCCAGGAGATGGCAGCAATATCATGACAAATCATAAAACAAAACACATTAGTTCACTTTTGTTTCCTCAAAAGAACAGTTTTGGAACAACAGAGAATTTTACTTTTTTTGGTCAATTAGAATATTATTATTATTTTCTGGAGAAGCTTACCCGTTGTAATTATTATTTCTGTTAATTCTGTAATTATGTCAATGCAATGTGTGTGCTATGGTCATTGTAGTATAGAGTGCTACTCACATGGTCCAAACATCCATATAAAACTTTTCATTCAAAATTGTATTAAAAAAGGAAGAAGAAGAAAAAATACATTAAATATGCCATTTCACAACAGTTATGTTCTATAATGCCAAATGTCTAAACATAAAATGTCTATTGAATGAGGAGGAATGAGGTCTAGTACATGGAACAGAAGTTTGTTTGTATTGATTCACGTATTTAAAAGGCATTTTAAGGCTTCATTGCATTTATCTGTTATGTGAACATCTTACTCTAAGCACTAACTCATTTGTTTAGGTCGTTATATAACCATTATTTAAAAAAAACACATTCCTATGGGGCATAAGAGCAACTCCTTCCAAAGGAGGAGGGAGTCTTTTGTCCTAAAGGAGATCCTAACTGAAATCACTATGGTCACTAAACAGATATGATATGAAACACACAAGAGTGTTAGATTCTCTATAATATTGCCCCAGATCAGATCGAGAACACATGATAATTTGTATGCATAGTTTGTGCTGATAAAAATTGTTGTTGTTCAAATGTGTGAACTGAAGCAAAGCGGTGGTTTTGTGCCATAGCCACCAAAAAGCATAGCATGTTTTGCAACTGCTGCATGCCGATTGGCTTTCCAGTATAGAACTTGACTATTTTAATTACTAGATGGCTTGATTTAATTTTTTTAATAGCTGATTTACAGTACATAGATAGATAGACAGACAACAGACTTAGAATGGAATTTTTCAAAGAATTGGCTATGCCAGTAATTTCCAGCTTGTCCTGTGGTGGGATGGCTCCTGTCAGGGAATGAGCACATCTGGAGTTCTGGAACATTTTGCCTAAGCAATTCAGTTCTTCAAGGAACATTTTTTTGGATGAGTTTGTATCTAATACAAACATGTTTTTTCTGGATTATTTAGTGATGCACCTGTTCCAACCCCCGTAGTCCCCCAGAGGGAGTCAAATGAGGTGAGACTGGAGGGCTGACGCAGTTTTGAGCACGTCTACAGAACAGGCATGCTATTCTACGAATGTGGTAAGTAATATTTGAATGCTGCAACAAGCACGCTCCATGATAATTTGAACTTCCCAGCAGGATCTGCTGAACAATGAGCTCTATTTCTATCCCAGTTTGCCGTTCTAGCGGACATGCACATCACAAGGTTTAGCTAACAGTTTTTGGCTGAGCGTGGAGCTCATGTGTCCCAAGCAGTAAAAGCTAAACTGGTTTTGACGAGAACGTTTGGGCTCTCTCTCTCTCTCTCTTGGCAGTGGTGTGAATGGTAACAGAAAATGAGGCAGGGGCCAGTGAGTTTACATGGGTAGGGACAGAGGCGAACCAAGATGAAGTGGGGGCCCCAGGCAAAATTAATAGATGAGGCCCTTCTAAAAGATTATTTTGTTAATATATCTTCGTTACCTAGATATATATTTATACAACATACAAAAAGTAGTTAAAACATATAATAGAACACAAATTCTTTAATTTTAAAACAAAGTGCTTATTCTTTAACAAAATATCAATCTTCATCTTTATGGCAGAAAATACTGTACAATACAATCTTGAAGATACAGTACAATCTTCATATTTACAGTAACGGATTGTCACCTTAAAATTGGTGCTTACGAGCCTTAGCTACAGCAAATGCTGTCACTATGTCCTTCATATCCAAAGACCGTCGTATGTTCCGTTCAAATTAAATTAGGGCCAGTGCTGACCTCTCTTGGGTCATTGTTGACCTGAGGTATGTTTTTATCAGCTTTACTAGTTTTATTAGTTGACAACTAATTATGTTAACTCTACTAATTTAATGTAGAAGTGCTAAATAAATAATGTCAACTAAGTAAATGTAATGATATTTATTTATATTGATTTATGGGCTCCCCACTGGCAGCAAGACACAGTACCCAGGGATGCAAACTAATCATGGGTGACAAAGATGAGCACCCCCCCTCAAAATAAAACCCTACATTTTTTAAACACTTATAATAATTTAAAGCCTTTATTATTTTTTTCTTTTATTTTTTAACTCTGCCAAAATTCACTTTAAATGTTCACTTTCATTCATGGAGAAGACGGGGGAAAAAATTGTCTCCTGATGGAAAACAAAGACTTAAGATGAAAATGACATGAAATAACCATTATATCCAGTAGATGGCAGCAGAGGATCACTCATTAGCTCAGTTGCCATTTCAACTCCCTAGTTTTTCTCACGTCTTGCTTTTGGATTGATTACAAAATGACTATGAAGTATAGCAAGAGCAGGGTGTCACAAAGTCTCACGTCATTTAAAAATAAGTAAATAAATAAATAAGCCCAGACACCAACAGCCTACTGTGGTAAATTATTTAAATACTTAACTAGTTAACTACTAATTAAGTTAATTATTAATGGTATAATAATTAAATAATGCATTCAATATTTTGGCTTTTTTTTTAGATTTAATTAAAAAATTACATTTTTTAAACATTTCCTGAAAAAGGACACATCAAAAGGAGTGCTTTAAATTATCTTTACCTGTAGAAGCTGCTAAATGCAACACAGACTTGTTGCTGCTGTAGTTTTGTTACTCTAAATTTACTCTGTATCACTTAAAAGTACAGCTCTGTTTTGACATTGGCTTGTCAGATAGTTTGTTACGTTCATTGCTACAGTTATCTTACATTACGTTTACATTTAGTCATTTAGCAGACGCTTTTATCCAAAGCGACTTACAAATGAGGACAATAAAAGCAGTCAAAACTAACAAAAGAGTAACAATATATAAGTGCAAATGACAAGTCTCGGTTAGCCTAACA